GGAGTTGCGCTGTCGAAAAAGTGCACGCCGTTGTGGCGCGAAGCGCGTTTGCCAGTGAAAAAGGTAAGAACACTTCACGTTTGGAGCACTTTTCGAAGTTGCGATGTCGAAAAAGTGCACGCCGTTGTGGCGCGAAGCACATTTCGAAGTCAAAATGTACAAAACACCTCAGCGTCGGACCACTTTTGGAAGTTGAGATGTCGAAAAAGTGCACGCCGTTGTGGCGCGCAGCACATTTCGAAGTCAAAAGTGCAAAAAAATATACCCCCAAAAGATGACCTGGGGGGGTTGGGTGTCCCCATTTTGTAGAGTAATCTGGCTTTTGGGGCCCCAGGGCTCTACAGAATCAGGAACCTGCCACAAATCTAGCAAAGGGGTTTCTCTACAAAATCAGCGCACCCAACCCCCTTTTTTTGGTGCACTTTTGTGATTTTCAGAACCACTGGCCTCTACAAAGTGGGGAACCTGACATGAGCACACATTTGAGCAGAATTGCTACTTGGAATAAAGCAAGCCCTAAAAATACAAAGATCCATTTTGTAGAGGGGTGATGTGAAAGAACCTTGGTCTCCCCTGAAGACCCTGAAATTTACAAAAATCAATTTTGTAGAGGCAATTCCTGTTCCACGTTTCCAGTTTTTGTAACATCAATATAATTTGTATATATTTATGCACATGAATGTTGACACACCCCAAAACCTCTACAGAATGAGGAACCTACAGTTTCAGCCAACTACAACATGTTCCCTCTCCAAAATCAGGAACCTGTAATTGCATATCCTTGCCGGCACTTAGGCTGTCCAAAAAATGGTTTTGGCGGACCCCCGGGGGTCCTGATAATGGAGTGGATTTTTTTGGTGGGATAAAAATTTGAGGGGTTTGGAGCACTTTTGGACGTTCAGATGTGGTTTCGCGTGGCAGGCGCAAGGGATTGTTCACCTTGTCAAAAGTGAGCAAAACGTGAAGGTTTTGTAGCATGTCCAAAAACCATGGCAGGCGTGGGGCATTTGAGGAGGATCTGCAAAGATGCATTTTCCGTGAGACATGTTCATCAGAGCTGTTAGGAGGTCCGGGCGCTGAATTCCTGAGAAGGGTTGCATTTTGGAGCATCAGATTTTCAGGTTTGCTGAGATGATTTTGCGTGACAGGTGCAGCACTTCGTATGACCTGGCATCACTTTTTCGTGGCAGGTGCAGTACTTTAGACGGGTGGAGTGGAAAAATCGCAAAAACGCATTGATACGAGGCCGTAAGCTCTGCACTCAACTTTCCAGTTTTGAATCATGTCTCGCAGAACTGCTTCGTTTTTGATGTTGTCAACTTTGAACACTGAGGAAGTCTCGCAGAATTGTTTCGTTTTTGATGTTGCCAACTTCAAAAGTTGAGGAAGTCTCGCAGAATTGATGCGTTTTTGGTGTCGTCAAGTTCAAAAATTGATGAAGTGTCCCAAAATAGCTGCGACAGATAGGCACATAGACAGATAGACAGATAGACGGACAGATAGACAGACAGACAGACAGACAGACAGAGAGATAGAGAGATAGATAGATAGATAGAGAGAGAGAGAGAGACAGAGACAGAGACAGAGACAGAGACAGAGACAGAGAGACAGAGACAGAGACAGAGACAGAGACAGAGACAGAGAGATAGATAGAGAGAGAGAGAGAGATAGATAGATAGGTAGATAGATACATAGATAGATAGATAGAGAGAGAGATAGATAGATAAATAGATAGATAGATAGATAGACACAAAGATAGATAGATAGATAGATAGATACATAGAACTGCAACAACAACTACTACAACTGCGCTACAACTGCAACTGCACCTACAGCCGCAACTTAACTACAACTTCATCTACAACTTCAGCTACACTACAACTTCAGCTACACTACAACTACACACACTTCAACTACAACTTCAACTACACAACAACAACAACAGCAGCAACAACAACAACAACTACTACTACTACTACAACTACAACTACAACTACAACTACTGCGCTACACCACACTACATCCAGGAGTTGTGAATGAGGTGACCACTGCAACGATTGCAACCACTCCAAAAAAGCACAACTCCAACCACCTTTCGGTCCATCAGTGGCTTCGCTCTGCCATCCCTGAGTCACAACAACCAACCTCTCCTATAGGTTTCCTATTTCTGAAACTTCCGCCACCGCCTTGTGCGGTACTACTGGTATATATGTGATTATGTATATATATATATACATACATGCAGTCATCCTTTTTAGTAGAGAGAATATGTACATTTCAAGTAACATATCACTAGAATGGGAATATCTTTGGAACCATATTCTACCTGCAGGATCCCATCCACGGAGCGTTAAAGGCCCGGCCACCTGCTCCACAAAGCCGCAGGGACATTGCCATTCGGCTCGTAGGCATCGACAAGAACCTGCTGGATCGATCGATCGATGGATCAAGAGGCGACGATCGCAATGGGGATTCACAGGAGATAATGGGGATATACATAGAATATAATGGTGTAAAATACTAAATATATACATATATAATATATAATATAGTAAATATATATATATATATAATGGGGATATAACCACCAATATGATGTTTGGACTTGGTACCAGAAAATGGTGAACGCTGTCCTTCTGGGAAACATGTTGTGGGTCGGTCTGCTATCTGATTTATCATTTTCCAATAACTGTGTGAAGGGTTAAATACACCTCCAGTAATCGACCAACGGGAAGAGGAACTGAATCTGACGTGTGGTTTCACCCCATCGAACGAGCTGTTCCGCGGGGATATAGCGAGAATATTCATCAGCAAAAATGAGTAAAAAATAGGATACTTGCCCAAGAATCAATGGTGTTGTTGGCTAAAATAATCCTCCGGAACTATTGTCATTCAAGATCATCATCAGGGGTAGGGTAGCGACGGAAGTACAAGACGTGAGCACACAAATTGGAGGTTGGCTAGCACCAATTTTATCTGGCTTCTCAGCCAATCTGGCCACAGCCTAGCGCGGGGGTTGAGTGAAAAGTCTCTCTGAGTGTCAGGTATTACCGAGGGTAGTCATACTTAACTGCTGGTATCAACCTGTATGGATGTATGGTGCATTCAACCCATCCTCCAAATGTTTGGATTTATTTGTCACCATATGGAAGCACTATGTTGTCTGGTTTTGAAAGAGTTTGAATATTGGGTTTACCTGGTATCTGTATGTATCTGTATGGTGTTAGTTTGACTCATATGCTTGTATTTTTCACAGTCAAAGGCCAACGTGAAGGTGGAAAGTACCATGTCATTCAAGATAGTCGAGAACGACATTGACCATGCTGGCGAACTGACAGGACGCCCTTCTGAGCATTCCTTGTAATTATCAATTCTTACAGACTATATGGAATTGTCTGAAAATGGGGGGTACCCCCATTCCATCCCATGGTTCATCAATGTCCATCATCATTTCCCTTAAAGTATCGCCCCAGGAAAACAATCAATCCGTAGCAGCGACCGAAAAACTGGCAGAAAATACACAATTTACCACTATAGTCACTATACCTACCGCAATTTTGATGATACCAACCACTGCAATGAAACAACATAACCCAACTATACCAACTATACCAAGCACTACGCAATGGGTTTCTTATGATGATATCAACCCTCACACTATGTAGCCATCAGTCCTGGCAGTCCCAAGTCATAGTGGAATCATATGTTGCAGCACTCTCTGTTACTTTGAGGTATACTTGGAGGATAGATATATATATATATATACATATTAGTTATATTACTTGTATATTACTTGTGTATTACTTATACATTACTTATACATTACTTAAATATTACATTGCTTAAATATTATTAAGTATTTTACTTCTATATATCACTCTTATTCCGACCTTTTTCTGGCTACTTCCTAGCCCAAAAAAAACAAAAACGTCGAGGAGCCGCATCGTAGAGACCCTTCTCCTTGGCCTCGTGAGCCTGCGAGGTCATCGATCCATCAGCAGGGGGATTCAGAAGTATCCAGTATGATCAGTTGATATCATCGTTCATCATAATACCGGGTTACATAATAAAATATGATCATAATATAATAACATATAATATGATCATAATACGGGGTACCATCATCATATTCTTAAATCATAATACTCATTATATAATAACCTCCAATATGTTGATACATGCTAATATATGTTAACTAATATCATAGCTAATGAATATCCAGGATTAACTGGATTCAATTGGTATATTACAAAGTTAATGTTAAGTTCATACCACTAATCACCCCCCGAACTAATCAACACTCACAATCCAAGATAAGATAAAAATAATGATGATAAGTTTTTTTTTTAAAAAAAAAACTATTAATCAATCGATCACTCACAAGATTGATCCATATTGATGCTATAATACGGAATTCCATGATCTCCGCTTCTGCGTCCGTGCGTCTTTTTGAGCAGTCTCCAATGGTGTTGAAATCCAGGAGCACGATACGTGCAAGATAGTTCAAGTTAGGTCGATGACCATACTGTCATACACCATGTTTTATATATCATAAATAGAGGGCAAGTTACGGTAAGTTACGGTAAGGACATCGCATGATCATTCGGAATTCTCTGATAACCGCCTCCATGCGTATGGGGGATGACCATCTCCTCTTACAGTACCCTGAAGGCTGGTGGGCCCCCGACCAAATGCGTAATGGGGCAATAAATGCATTGCCCAAAAATAGAGGTAACTGGGAGTTGACCAGGCTGAAAAAAAAAACAAACACTTCTCTGTTGGAGTGGGGAATTAATTTGCCTCGACTCTCAAAATACCCTAAAAAATGGGTACTTAATTCGTACTTACTACATCATTGATTTCAATACACTTCTACCCATACGTTTGCATGGCTGTACTCTTGAGCTTGCGGCAGGGATTTGGTGCAGCGCCCTGGAGCTTGGAACATTCCATATATATATATATCCCAATATCCCAATATCACATCTTGCTGCCCACAGGCCTGCTCCTTGACTGCACGCAAAGCAAACATCGCTCCATCCTTGCCGGCACACTGTGTCCAAGCCCTGAAAACATCTGGCAGCGTCCCCATCTTCCAACTGTTTGCACCAACCTTTGTACACATATTATATATATATACATACAAATGTTACAAATATGACTACCTACATATATATATATAAATATATATATATATATATATAATTGAAGTAATTATATATATATATGCAAACATATTAACTACACATATATCTATATATGATTTATATATGTTACTTGTTCATTTTCATGCCATACTCTAATTAGGGTCGTTCCCTATCGGTAGTGAGGATTTCTGCGTTCACAGACTTTGAGGCGACTCATGCAAAACAGGGGTATCGGTACAGGGTCGTCCCCTATCGGTAACGAGGGTTTTGCACACCCCTCAGCAAGGCCAAGGCGAAGCAAGACTAAATGATATAGTGCAACAATTTGATCGGTTATTCAGAATATGATTCATATATGTATAATATATATATATATACAGAATAGATTTTATGTTTGCACTGATTGCACTGCTGTTGTATCTCCATGTATCTCCGCGTCGCACCTCCTGGATGACTCTCAGGTTCGGCCGTTCGGAAAATCCCATACCCTGACGTATCACCACCGTGGCCAGGTTGCCAGGTGCGGTGGAAAGATCTGTCCCGAAAAAAGAGAAGCCACAGTAGAAAGCTAATCTGTATGGATTTGAGAGATTTCTCCATCTTTTGAATCTTCAGGAAGGATTTGTGTTCTATGATGTTCTATGAGTAAAGTCGATAATTGACATTGATCATTGACCGTCAGTTGACACACCATCTGAGCTGCACCTGCTTCGCAGCATGGATCACCTTGCTGGAAGTCTCAATGCGCTTCCCAGGAAATGTGACGGATTGCTGCTCAAATCAGACATTTCCTTTTTTGAGCCCCAGGTTTTTGAACCTTGACCCATGATCATTTGGTTTAATGAAACATATTTAAAGCCTGAATTTACCCTAATTTACCCATGTTGAAAAGGGTACAGTATCTTATTGCACGTTTCCTGTGGCCATTTCTATGGCTCAGGGTTGCGCTACCCCCACAACACCCGAGGATGGCTGCAGGGTGCTATCCTTTCACCCAGGAACGGCCGGCTCCAACTCAACCACATCCACTTGACAATGGGGTAAGCCTTCGGCAATGAAGGACCTCAGTGATATGAACAATGGGGATTCATGGGACACAACCCAAGAATAGTGGAAATTACCATCAACAATGGTTGTTTAACCAAGAACTATAGAGGGATGAAGAAACAACATGAAACAACACATTGGATTGCAAGAATACTCTGCATTTGACAAAAAGTGGAAGATGCTCAAAACATTGCTGTTCCAGTTCGTATTTACTTTGAAAGTTTGGTTCAAAACCGTGGAATGGAATGGACCCGGAATGGGGGCCTCTATGTTCAAACAATACCAAAATGATCCAAAATGCACACCCTTGCTGAAATCGACGGTGAGCCCCCAGCGGAACGGAGCCACCCCCCAAGCCGATGCAAAGGATGCGCAGTTGCTCCTGCAGCGACTACGTACCATTGAAAGGATTGATGTGTCCACCCAAACTGGCAATAAAGAACCAGAAGATGTCAACTGTTACCCCTTAAGATGTTGGTGCTTTTGCTTTCACCATCTTTCACCCATGTTTCATGCATTGAATTTTCTGCTGGTTTGACATTTCCTGGCAGTAGAGCCTTGTCAGCAAGACTAGCCTGCTACATTATCAACTTCAGAATCTGCATCAATTAAACTTGCTTAGATTCATTCAGATTCTTGGCTGGGGGTATTTAGAATCTAGGATACTGTACCCTCTGGTAAACTAACATAACTATGGAAAGATCCACCATTTTTAATGGGTAAACTCACTATTTCAATGGCCATTTTCAATAGCTTTTTGTATGTTTACCAGAGGGTACCCATACCTCTAACATCCCCAACACACGTTCCGTTCCGAACGGTGCATCCGCCAAATCACCGTTGCAAGGTGGTGCCCTTTGTAGCTCAGTTGGTTTAGGCAACACTCCAGCCACTGGATAGGGTTTCCAGCAGATATATCATGGTTTTATAGTTAACAACCCCTAGTTTTGGGAGCTACATACCCTATTTATATATATATATGTACATACATACATTTTCTTAATGGGGTTACAAACCGACAAACATCACTGTGGATACGTCAGTCTCGCTACATTCGCACCTTGGACGTTTAAATCCTGCCAGATTTTTTGCAGAATAATCAAGTGAACATCCATAAATCCGAACTAATGATTTTGAGGTTCACCAAGCAGAACATGGTCTTTGGATGTCGTTGGATCCATAGCCATACATCTCCTCTAAGATCCTTTAGGTCTCCCTTGGTGGATGCAACTTTCAATTTCTTCATCTGGGATTGTCTCAAAATAGGATGGCTCATGGTCAATCATCAAATTTGACCCAATCAGTGGCCATTTTGGGGCTATCCTAGCCATATCTAACCATCGTTTTTTCATATGTCTCCCATTGTTCCATGTTCCGCGGCGCGTGGCGGCTCCTTGCCCCTGCGTCGCACCGGTGCCCCCACCGCGGAGAGGGCGGCCAGAACTACGGTGGCAAAGGACTTGCGAGCAGCGATTGGGGTGACGGGGGGCCGTTCGCCTCTGGTGATTGAACATAGCGAAGTGGAACATCACCATGTTTAAGAGGTACATCATCTATAAATGATGTACCAACCAAAAAAAAATGTGGGAATATCCGTAGAGTTATGGCCCTTGACATAAATGGGATTAATGGGATTAGAGCTCCTGTAACTAAGATTAAAGATATCACTTAAATGAGGTTCGTTAGCCAGTTATAAATGTTAAGAGCTACAACCGTGGGGAACCTATATGGAACCAATGAAACCACAAAAGGGTTGGTCACTGTGGTATGGTGTCGTACCAGTTTTAGTCCCTAACAATATCCAACAATCCATTTTTTGTATCCTAACAGTATCTGGTTTCTAATACCCAACGTTATCTAATCATCAATTTTTGGTATGTAATCCTCTGTTTTTCTGGGGGCTGTATGATTTTGATCCATTCCCACGGAATAAATACAAAATGGCATGAACCCCCATTGGGTGTATGGTTTAAGGTAAACCCCAGTTGGTGTAAAATTGGGCCAAAACCATCATTGTTTTTTCCACGTTACTTCTGATGGAACGCCAAGTTCCGAAGCTTTTTGGGAGGATGTCAGCAGGTACGCTCCAGAGTTGTTTGCCCACATGCACCCGACAAACAAATATTAGGTACCTGATCCATACATTCATACATGGAGAACATGGAACTTCTAGGTTTCCTAGTGTTCGCAAAGCAAACTTGTTTTTGTTGTGGGGGTTATTTTTACTTTCAAAAATAACATCAAAACAACACCATAGAACACCATGGTAGATTATCTTTACCCGGGCCCTGTTTACCAAACCTATCATCCCCCAATCTACTGATTTGTCTCAGCCTTCCCAGTTTGTGAATTGTAACCATCCCCATGACACCAATTGCCACCATTTCTGTTTCAAATCTTCTTTCTTTGGTCAGTAAATATTCCCATGTAGGCTATACAAGTCACCTTTTGTTTGGAGTTCATATTCCATTTCTGTCGGCTCAAATTTCCCGATTTCTGTTGGTGAAAAGCCCGATTTATGGCACTGGCTTTAGCTGCCTTGGTATAGGCCAAGGGCACCACGGCTCCTTCCAAGAAGCGCGGCACCATTGGGATTTGCTGATGGGTGGTGTTTTTCTGGAAAAAACGATTGGTAACCAAAAAAAAAAGATATGAATCCACCAACAAAGGAATTCAGCAATAGTGGAATGACCAATCGTGGATTCCTTCAGCTCCTTCTGGAAATTAGAAACAGAGAAATTCACCATAGTGGATTACCCCGATGGATTGAGAGACTTTCCCCAATAGTGGATTGGTTGGGACATCAAAACCTGAGCTTTAGCGTCGACTGGCAGTGAGAACCACAACCCTGGAACTTGTCAGCGAATCAAGCATTGAGTTGGCTGATGTTTAGGCTCCCCCTCTTGAACATTTGCCAAAAACATATGTATTATTATGTACTACTTTATGTACGTGGTACTTTATGTACGTATAATATATATATATATATAATATGTGAACAAATTGATCCTTGTTCTGGATACCTTTTCAGTTGTGGTTCCCTATGTGCTGATAGTCGGAGCTGTCAAACCATGCAGCAGCGGAGCGCGTTATTTTGGCCTCGCAGTGGGTCTTGAGCCAAAATGGTGTCCCGTGCAAGTATGTACATATGCTCAACATATGTAACTACTGTGTTACTTCGTTCCCTTTAACACCCCCCATGCCCGTGGTATCGCATGAGGAAGCCTAATGACTCTGGAGTGTACCCGGCGCATACCAGAAATTCCATCATCTTCTCATAGATCTCTAAAGTCTTGATGACAGGCATCATCATGTTTCTTGGTCGTCCTGAGTACAACTTCTCTCCTTCTGACCATGAATTCCTCTTCCCTTTCTCCTGAAAGAGTTCGTCCAACTCCAGCTCCGTCGGTCGCTTGAGGTTGCCATCCTGGTCTTCTCCTGTGTAAGGGCAGAAGTCGTCCAGGTCCAGCCGGACTCGCTTGGTTTCCGTCATCATCTCATGGTACTCCTCTGGGGTCATAGTGACTCTCTGCTTGTAGTAAAACCTGAACATTGTGATGACCTTTGACATGACTGCATTGTCATACAAGTGAGCCGCGGCCTCGGAGACATCATTGTTGATAAGTCCGTCTTCTGGCATTCCCTTGCTGCCGCTCTCGAGGTTCTTAGTCCATGCTGGAAGTTTGGAAGAGGGTTCATCTTCAGGTTCGACGTCCATTTCATCGTCGTCTTCTTCAACGATTTCATCGTCCTCCTGTTGAGCTTCCTCCTCCTGATCCATTTCCTCATCATCGCCTTCATTGTAGTCGACCTCGTCAGGATTGAAGCCATAGTCGTTGGATTCGGATACGTTTTCTTGTGCTTGATTGACCGTATCCTTGAACAACGATTCTTCTTGTCGACGAACTTCTTCATCGATCTCTTTCTTTGTGGCCTCATCTTCATCGTCTTCAGGAGCTTGTAGCCGATATGGACGAATTCCACAGCTTTCAAGTTCCGTCCAGCAAACTAGACACACTGCTAGCTTTGTCGGCGTCTCATTGAGACAGTGAGGACAATGGCGGCAACCTGATGTTTGCACCCTTTTGCGTTCGACTATGTAGTCAATCAGCTTGATGCGGGCCAGGTATTGCTCTTGTCCGCCAGGCTCAATGAGGTTGCTCTTGAATTGGTTGACGATGTTCATGGCATCCATGGCGGTTTCGTCAAACGGTTGGTCTTCGGCGTCGATGCACTGACTTGCAACTCTCAAGATGGACTCCTTGGTGGCTACCGTTCTTGATTTGATAGTTCCAGACCGGACTACCTGGTCGTCGCCCGACGGGACGAACAACCTGAGCCATGTCTTATTGTTTTGGTCCTTGGGGTCCTGAATCCATCCTCCTTTGATTGCCGAGAACGGGATGATCTTTGGTGAAACGATCTGTCCCGAGTCAGTCAGTCGACCGCCATATTCCACCATCAAGGTCTCGGTCGGGACGAACAAGCAAATGTAGTCCCCCCTTCGCGTATCAACGCTCTTCGTGATGGTCCATGATCTGTGATCCCATGGCACATACGGGTTGAAGAACGTGAACATCCGGTGACCTTCTCCAAGACCTCCTGGAATTAATCCCTGCCTCCAAATGCTTCGAAGGTTGGTCTTCTTGGTGATGTGGAAACAAACCGGTAACGATAAAATGGTGTTGGGCGCGATTGGATGTGAAAGTAGTGAGGACAGCAATGAGACGTCTTCCCTCGAAGATCCTTCTTTGTGCCCCGTAGGAGCACGGACCGCCACAGGGTAGAGCAGTAGACCTTCATCGGGGATGTTCGTGTCCGCATCGACCTTGTTGTCAATGCATGTCAGGCTGGTGCGCTCAATGTCCTTGTTGATACCAAATGCCAAGACTTGTTCACGAACACGACGTCCGTATCGGGCACAGTGGAACATGATCTTGAAGAGCAATGTCATGCGGTAGTTTGCCTCATTGAGATTCCAGGCATTCTGATCATTTGCTCTCCCTTTTGGGGCAAGGAATACATGTGGCCAGCGTGCGTACTCGTGCCTCCAGATGGACTCACATTTGAGCACCTCCTCGATGGGCACCCAGCCGGCGTCATCACATGACAGACTCTGTTGTTCTGATACCTTCCCCACGTTGTGCCGTAGGATCCTGTTTAGTGAGGTACTCACCTTGTCCTCGTATGGATTGAGTCGGTTGCCAGTCTCGAAGCGGTAGTTGGCTGCATATTCGACACCGCCAAAGTATGAGCAGTTGAAGAAATGTGCCCCCGTGGTTGGGATGATTTTCAAGAAACCATCTTGCGGCGCCTCGACTCTCTTGTAGAAGGGCTTCCTGATGTTGTTATCAGAGTAGCTTGCCATGAAGTCTGGCACGGACCACGAGTCACCTCCTCCTCTGACAATAGCGTCTCGGATCACTTCGTTGAGGTCAACAATGTTCTGTGGTCCTAGCTTTGTAACATCACGTCCTTCTATGCAGAATCTACCATACTCATCAAGGTCACCAACTTCAGACATAGTCCTGATGCTGTCGTACCATTGGTGTTCACTAAACCTCGATTTTGTAGGTTCATCCGTTTGCCCCGACCCGTCAGTAGCACCTGAACCGTCCTTCTTGTGCTCGGGAGGCTCCATATCGACGTCATCAGATGTTGGACTATCAGCCTCGAGCGACGCTCGGACGGCCTTTAGCACCTTTCTGACTTCATCCCTCTTCTCATGTCCACATTCAAGATGGCCATGTTTGGTGCTACCACAATGCAAGCACACATTGACATCCTCAGAGACGGTAAAGAGTTTTCCCAATGCATCCAAAAGTTGTTGTTTCCCGGAAATCTCTGAGTCCCTGACAACATCGGTGGGATCATTTGCTGGCTCATCAGCTTCCTCCTCCCCAGGGTGAGCCGACGACTCGTCACCTGGTTTGGCATCGGCATCCGTGCCCATGCTGGCGTCACCCCCTGTGATGTTGTTCTTCCTCCGATAATGAGAAAACACCTGATCCTTCTCCCACTCCGTGAGGCAGCAGAAGTTGGCCAGTGAATCATATCCGGGGATTGCATGGATGATCTTCATGACCCTTTCAGCTTCTGCGGTTTGCAGTGTGCAGTCAAAGGATCCCCGTCTCTTGTCATTGATAGTGCTTGAGGTTCTTGAGGTCGACGTGAACTGAGCCAATGCCTTTTCCAATCCATTGAGATACTCTGCTGGATCGACACTGGCATTGAAAACATCCACGACTCCTTTGGCCATATTGGCCACGTCCAAGACACCAAGCCAGAACTCGATGATATCTCCAGTTTTCTCGGCAGATGCACGGGAGAATCCAAAGATCTCGTTCCTCTCCTTCACCTCGGGAACGGCAACCTTTTCGAAGAAGTCTTTGTATGCGACATTTCCGCAATCCTTCGTGACTCTGTAGATCAAGAGCCACTTCTTTGCAACATCATCGAAAACTCTTTCGCGATAGATGCTGAATTGCTTGCCGCGTCCGTTTCGGAAAATTTCCAAAGCTTGCCTCTTCGAAATTCTGACTCCTCCCATGTGAGATAGAGATTTCATCAAGTGCTCCCCATACGCCAACGATGCATTTGAAATCAACGAAGACGCAGTAAATGTGAGCCATGTTTGGAATCCTTGATTGATGTCAACAATGTCAACACCAAGATCCTCGAATGCAACCTTCAACCTGGCTGCAAGGAGTAGTACGGACTTCCTGGCCTCCAATGTGGGAGCTGAACGCTTGTAATGGTCCTGGGTGTTGGCGGAGCAATTAATGCAATGGGTTGGTCTCGACTGGCATGTCTCGATCTCATCCATTGTCACTGCGCCTCTACAGCTTCCGCATAGGATGTCGTTGTTCTCCTTGTCAATGGTGAACCACATGCATCGATCGGAAACCACTGGTTCCAGCTCATGGGTGCCGACCACCGGTTCGACCCAACTGGTCTTGAACCTTTTGTCTTTGGTGAATCTGTTCACGGCGGTCCCAGGGCCTCGCTGGAAGATTGTGGTGTCGTCATTTGCATAGTCACCAGGGGTCATTTCGCCGCCGGCGATCTTGAACGCCTCAGTTGGTCCGGTCATATCCTCCAGAACTTTGGCGATGATGCCCGATTCATCAGGTTTGAACGCTCCTTCATTGAGAACTGATACATATTCCCTGTTCGTGGCACACATGAGGAAGACCCTTTGGCGAAATAGATTCTTCTCGATGACAGACCAAATTGCCGTCTTTCCCAAAGTCCCCTTCTTGGTTGTACTCAAAATTGGATATTGTTTCCCAAATTGTGAATACATTGACCGCCACATTCTCTGGTCCGATGTCACCAGGATCCCTTGGAGCCTCATTTTCTCAATCAGCTCATCTGCGATCCTGGACGTTACAGAGTCCATTCCGTTAAACATGGAGTCATTGTTGATGGCGACCATCAGGGGTCGGGACGTGACTTGATCAAGATCGAGCACCCCTTTGACAAACTGATTCTTGAAGTCGTTTTCAAGCATAACACAATGAGGTGGTTTTGGTGCATGTAGGAACTGCAATGACAACCAAAGATG